TATTAACACATACTTTTGCCTATACATCTTGGCCAGCTTCCTAAACAATCTATCCCACCTGGTTTTGAGTTTAGGACAATGGTTTCATTAATTCAGCTGGGTTGGTTGCTGCTGGTTACAAACCTTGCAGCGCTGCCTCCTATTCCCAATATGGCCTGAAATTGCATCAAACACTTCTGCCACCTTGATAAAATAAATAAGACCACAGCCAGACTAAAAAATGTCAAAGCCAAGGGCATATGTATTAAAAAGGAGACTGTAACCATAAAGTCATTTAAAAGACAAAAAGGAAAGGACAAAAATGCCCTTCATGAGGGGAACGGCTGTTTGACCAGCACAGACACGAGACTGAGTTCTGCAGCTGTATTTGGAGGCAAAACTGACTTCCAACACCAAATGTCAGAAATTCAGACATTTAAGGCAGATTCCTGGGAGCCTCCCACTCAGAGATGCAAGCAAGTCCCTTGGATAGCTGCAGCCTGGCACTGATGCTCCAGTGGAGACAGCCCAGCTCTCCCTGCCCTTCCACAGAGCTTTGGGGTCCCACCAAGGCTCTTTTCTCCCTTAGGTTTCTGTGCCATTTCCCATTCCTTGTTCTTCAGAGACACTGCCCAGTGTCTGGAAGTCATTTTCTGTGGCCATTGTTGAAAATAAAACAATTGTATTTCTTTGCTGAAGCAGATTCTCCGGGAAACACAATTTCCCTGCTGTGGCTGAGGTTTGGCAAGGATCTGATCCAGAAACAGAAAATGCCCTAAAGCAGGTCCCAAACAGATTGCAAGACTGCAAGAATTACAACCTCCACTTTATAAAATACATACAGGCAGCTCATCACAATAATGAAGTGCCAGGCAAAACTTGGAGGCAAAATCCTCTCAGAAAACCACATTTCTTATCCACAGCCGGCCCTGCCACCTTCCCCAGTGCACCAGCCATCTGGTCAGCATGCTGCTGAAATACTTCACTTTCAATGACACCTGAAACAACAGGGAACCTTTTCCACATTCCCATTCAGGATCTGCCACAGAATGGCTCAAACAACAGAAAAAGAAAAAATTCCTTTAATAATAAACACAAGACTGTCTCACTCCTGCAAGCTCAGCACTGACTGTTCATCTTGTTGGCTTTCTGAGCAGTGCCCACTTCCATAGCAGACCCTAAATCGACTTCTCTTGGACATGGGCTAACCTCAGAAATCCTCTATTCACCCTTCTGAGTCTCTGTGGCCCAGGAGAAATGCAGGCAAAGATAACAGATTTAAGGAAATTAATTGTCATAAATCAGATTTTAATGTGGCCATCCTGAAATGCAGAGGCTAACCTCATCTGAAAGACTCCATTTTTGTTCAAAATATTAATAATTTTGTTAAGTGCAAATGTTTGGTAGGTTGCTGTAATTTTTCTCCTCTAATGAGTGCAAGTTTCAGGTTTTAGTAATAACAACATTATTAATGTAATATAATTTGTGTACGTCATTTTGGATCAAGGGGTTTGCACAGGCAATTATTATATTTGAATGTAACAAATCATGGTTGATTCTAATAGCAGGATCTGCAATTACAAAACAGGTGGTTAATAGCATGTTATAATCACTTGAAAGTTATATTAAATTGATGTAAAGATTTGCTTGTTGTAGGTAACACCTGGATAGATGACACCTGGATTGGGGTAAATGAAATAATCAACCCTTTCTATTTTAGGAACAAATCTCCTACCACTTCTGTTTAAACAAGTCTGAAGCACTTCAGTGATGAAGGTGAGAAAGTAAATTATGTCTTAGTCAATCTTCAGGCTGCAATTTCAAACTCTCCCAGCCTGAAACCAGAGCTATAAAATGAATCTAATTCTATATAACATCACTCCATGCTAGTTACACATAAATGAAGTGCTGAATCTCCTGAGTCTCTTCCATCTGCTGCAAGTGATTCTGTGGCCAGGCTGGGCACCTCAAAAAGTACCTGGACCAACGGAAAAGATGTGTCCAGTAATGAGGACAAGGATAGAAAATACAACCTGAAAGAGAATAAAACAATCCCTGAGGACAATTGCCCTCTCTCTTCAGGACAATTGTGCCGAAGTGGAGCTGCAACATCCAGGATTTGGGTAACAAAGAAAGTGTGAACATCTGTGGGTTGGGGGTTGCTCTTATTGTTTCTTTTTCTCCTGGGCAGAGACAGTGATGAGCAGAGCCTTTGGCTTTTAATTGAAAAGGAAGAAAAGTCCTGCTCTGTTCTCCAGGCAATAAAGGCAGCCCTTTGCAGGAGTGAAAAGGTTTGCACCTTTCAGTGCTCACAGGAGCTCACTGCACAGGCTGGAACTGATCCCAGTGCAGCTTTTCCTTTTGCACAGCCCTTCCTTCTCTGTGGAAGTGCTCCTTCATTAAACAAACAAACAAACAAACATTAAAACCCTTTAGCTGAGGATAAATAAAAGCAAAATTATTAGACTGCAAAACAAACCCGAGATGTGTGTCATAGCTTCAGTCTATCATTATCTTTTACCTAGCTGTTCATGCAAATGTGACATTTTCATGGCTGTAAACCCTTACACGAGTAAAATATTGATCTCCCACTAACCACACAGGTGAAATGAAACATTCTTTTGCCAGCTCCTCTTCTAAAGGAAGGTTTCCTTTCAGGATCCTGACCTCCAAGTCAAATGCTGATTGAGATGTGAGGAAATGTAATTTATTCCTGTTAATTACAGCTGGGTTTTATTACAGGTTTGTTTTGCACCAGAGAGTGGCAGCTAGAGCTCCTTTTCTGTTATATTTCCCTGTTTCTCGTTGATTTGCAGGTTGGTGGGTTGATTTCTTTTTCTTACAAGTGCAAAGAACTTTCAAGCAGTCACAGCAGGCAGAAACATTCTGGTTTTCCAAATCAGACAGTCGACTCTCCTTCCTTGCCAGACACATGAACTTACCAGAGATGAGATGCAGACAAAATCTATTTTTCCTTGCCAGAACTACCCAGATCCTTGGAAATTGGAATAAATTTTTATGAGAACAGCTTTCAGCACTTCTTTCTGACCAGACACCAAGTTCAGGCTTCCATGGACATTTTCCTCTCCCCCTGCATCCCCCTCCTCCTGCAGGAGGTCACTCAAATCACAGTGACAGGTCCTGACTCAGCTCCCACAGAGACGGGAATGAGTTTTTAGCTTCAATTCGCCCTCTTGTGGACTTACCTGCCCACAGGTTCCTATGAACAGGTTCTCCTCAGAAGCTGTGGCTGCCCCTGGATCCTTGGCAGTGCCCAAGGCCAGGTTGGATGGGGCTTGGAGCACCCTGGGACAGTGGAAGGTGTCCCTGCCCATGGGACTAGATGGTCTTTAAGGTCTCTTTTAACCCAAGTCATTCTCTAGTTCTATGAAAAATACCTTTTTCCCTGGAGGGCAGCAGCTGAGGGGTCAGGCCTGAGGGCTGCTGATTCTCTCCCAGCTTTCAGGAGCTTTGTTTGGGAAAGGGGTTGTCCAGGCAGACACAGCAAATCCTACAGTCCCTGCATGGACACAGCCCGAATCACCATCAATAACACCCCACAAATGTATTTTCCTCTGTGGAGGGGTGGTCTGCACCACTAGCTCCATTTCAGAGGGGAAAGGCAGATTCCACTGCACTACTGTTACCACAGTTCATCTGCCTCAAATATCCACATGGCAAACTTTCTGAAAATCACTGTGGTCTCTGCATAAACACTGAACAGAAAAGGAATGAGCAGAAAAAATATTTAATTTTCTTCTCCAGCATGTTATGCAGTACTTTCAAGCTCCTAAATTGAATTCTTTACCACATTAAGTAAATTTGACTCGTATGCTTTAGCTCTGACTCATTTTCCTTCTAATCAGTTGCTAATTATTACCCACTTCCTCAGAAAGTTTGTGGGGACAGATGCTGCAGTACCATGACTACTAAACAAAACCCTGAAAATTGGAGGAAAACTTCCCAGCAGATGTAGATAGCTTAAATTGATGTTTCTTTCTTTGCTTTCTCTGCCCAATTAGTCAATTCACATATGCACTGGTTTTAGCAGCAGTTTTATGCAACAAATAATCCTTAACTGATCTAGTTATTGCATATTTACAGAGGAGTGGCACAAAGAGGATGAACTGGCTTAAATCCTGGGGCCAGAGTGTCCAGCTCTGACTTCCCTACCAGCATCTTGCACAAGAGATGGGATTTGGGGATTGAGGGGACCCAAAAGGACTCACACAGCGACCCACCATCACTCAGAACTGAATTCCCACTGCTCTCATCATTCCCTGCTCTGGGTTGGTGACTTCTGCCTTCATCACTTCTGTTTCTCCTGGGTATTTGCAGCTGCAGCTTTAATCGGTTTAATAGATAATCAGTACAGTCAGTTCTGCAGAGCTTTTCTGACATACAGTAAGAACCTGTTCATAATCTAATCATGCCTTACCTAACGTCCCTCTCACCACTTTGGAAAAATGTGGTTTTAAAAACATCCTCAGCTACCTTAGCATGAATACAAAATAGTTCTAGGTAAGGAGGGGAAAAATAAAAGAAAAAAAAGTTCTCTGGCAATGAAATGACAGAATTTTACTTCTTGGCATCTAAGGCACAGAAACCAGACAATTGTTAGTCATGACCATTTTTTATAGCTCAAGACCTTTCCCGTATGGAATAAGTGAACTTGCATTTCAAAACCACTTCCAAGTGTAGTACACATAGCCATCTACTCAGCATCACACACAGCAACTCCAGTTTCCATTTCAGAGGCTCCAAAATACTGAAAATCAAGCCAGAATGTTCAATTTCCCTGATATAGCATCCAACACTTCATAAAACTTCCAGGAAACCGATATTTAAACAAACTGTGCCAAAGCTATTCTGTACAAAGTATTTTCAAGTGCATTTTGGAAAGAACTGTCTGCTGAAGCAACAAAGAATAGAAACCATTCCAGATCTGTAACCCCACAATACATCAAAAATACATGATAATCAATTGTATTTAAAGATAAACTGTGCTTCCACATCTCTGCTAATCAGTAATCATAGTTCAAATATTTAATAATCATTTGGAGAATACTTTGTGAGAAACCATCTGGGTAGCTGCATGGTTGGATACAAGGAATTCAAATTCCAAATATTTTCCATATGATATTCATGTGGTTACCAATATCCACTGCACAGAAATTAATTACAAATTAGGAGAAGGTAAAAGAGAAAACCACTTTCAAAGTGAATGGCTGCAATGAGACCATCACACATCCCACTGGATGGAGCTCAGGGCTAGAATTCTGGTCAAATATTTCACTAATCCCAGTGACCCAGGAAAACCATTTGCAGAATTTCTTTTGCTTCTTTCCTAATGCCCACACAAAGAAAATTAATGAGTTTGCATATTAAGAGACCACAACAACAAGCAACAGCAACAAAGAGAATCAATCAGCTCTGCAAATTGTGCAAGCACTTGTTTTGAAATAAAAAGGCAGATGAAAACTTTGGTTTTACAAACAATTTCCTGGCTTTGGGGCTTTAGTTTAATTTTTACTAGTTGGGTTAGGTGGAGTAGTAGAGAAGGCAGGTGATTTTTAAACTCATTTTTGCTGAGAGCTGTGTGTCACAGGGCACAAACAGACTGCAAAACACACCGGCACTTCAACTGTGAGCTGGAACAATAATCAACATCAGCAAGATGAACAAAGATGCTACAGAACACTTCTGCAAGGTCATCCTTTGCGTTTTTGGGGCTAGAAAGGATTGCAGACTGGCACTGCTTGGGCAGATTTTCACATGTGTAATTTTCCACAGCCATGGCACAAGGTGGCAATGAGATGTTCCATCCTGTCAGGAGACAATACTGCACTGAAAGGCACACTGCAATTAATTAATGCCACACACTGTGTAAAATTACAGTGATCTAGGTGAGTAAGGGCAGGCACTGGCAGCTGGGGATGGGAAGGCTCCTTAAATTGGGATAAACTGAAACAGAACTGAAATACAGCTGGGAGGAGAAGGAGCCCTGTCAGGAATCCAGCTCTCGAGGATTTATTGCTGCATTTGGGTGGAATACAGCCCTTTCTTTAAAAACCATGAACTGCCAGCTACCCAGCTGGAGAGGTTTACTAAAGCATTCTTTTTCTAAAAGAAGAGCCTGTTGAGGAATGACAGTCACCAAAACTTGTCTACAGCCCTTGGATTTATTCTCTGAAATGCATGTTACAACAGAGCAAAGAAAAGGCTGCTTAGCCTATTATTTACCCAATGAGTAATTACCTTGTAATTAGGTGTAGCTGATTGTTCTCCTTCACAGCACGACAAACCCACTCACCACCCCCGAGCTTCAAGGGCATCAATAAACATATGTATGAAGATTAATGCCTGTCAGAGGAATGCCCTATATCCCAGAGCCAAAACCAGGTCCACACACACACACCAGCACTCCAGATTTGGATAAACCAGGCCTATTTAAAAGAGCTTAATGCCAGGTCTAAATGGTTACAGACATCCTGATACCTGAACCAGAATGGTATGAGATCTGTGACGCACCATGTGGCAATTTCTACAGTGGGCAAACAGATTCCAGGCATTGGTGGGGTTGTAATTAAAACAGTAAGGAAAATGCATTAACATCTGGAAGACAAAGGCAACATGACAAATTCATCCCAGCCTTGCTGAGGAGAACAGATTGCACAAAAGCACAAACACAAGGCACATTCTGAAAAATAAGTCATGTAATTAAATGATGATTAAAGGGAGACCACCAGGCAGATGTGCCATGCAAAGAAAACCACTCCATAAGGGGAAGCAAAATGAGTCACTCACAAGAGGTACTGTTGAATTCTTTTAATAACACTAGGAAAATATCATAGTATTAAAGTCCTGCATGGGGTCCTCGGGAGGTTATTTGGGTTGGGATTCCTTTTGTGTTTATAAACCAAACTTTATTTCCCAATTGTGTTTCCTTTTAGGCTGACTACTCCTTTACAATGGCATTTCCAGTTAAAACACAGCTAACCTATAAATACCTGAATGCCACAACACACATTGTGTGCGTGGGTTGTGTTTTGTTTAAGTCTTAGAGGAAATGACAGGAAATCTACTCAACACAGGGAAGCAAATGTTGATCCGTTAAGCAGGGGGATGTAAAAGCCAGTAAAGAATACATTGCATACATAATACAGAAGGAAAAAAAAAATTATCATCAGGAGTATGTGAAATTACGCTGATTTTGCACCTTAAACCTAGTAGAAGTTACTCTGTTGGCCAATACTAATCCACTGAACAAGCAGAATGTTGGTCAGAAGTCTAACGTTTTCCTGTACCAGCACAGAGAGAGTACAAGCAGTCCATTGCTGTTAAAAGAAAACATGAAATCCAGCTCATGTTTCTGGTTAGGGGTCGATTTCCTCGGGAACTACTGTGAGCATCACATCTTCGTTGCCCCTGCGCACCACCATGTGCAAGGTACTGTCCTTTTTAATGATGTCACTGACATCACTGGCTGAGCTTATGGACTGCCCATTGATGCTTATAATCACATCGTTGTCCTTCAGGCCACCACTGAAAACACAAAGCAGCAATGTGTTAGAATTGCAGTTTCATTTTTAGGGGGAAAAAAAAATAATTCTGGATTATTATTATTATTTCCCACCCAACAGCAGACATGGCAGCCGTGAGGAAAGCAATCAGAATTTATGAAGCAGTGAAGGTTACAATGAAGTGCAGAAACCCCAGGATCTGATGGATGTACAAGTTTGATGAACCCCATATTTCACTGCCTTCAAAGGCATTCGCTGTTGCAAATAGCAGTTAATTCTGCAATAAAGGTCTTAGGTGTTGATATCTAAAAATAATTCTAAAAATATCTAAAAATAATTCTAAAATAATTGCAACAAAGCAGATTCATTTTAGAGGGGAGATTGCCCAAGCTTTTGTTCCTGAACACACAGAGAAGCAACCCGAGTGGCACTGTGTGCTACTGAGGGATTTCAGCCCCTGTTCTCCATACAGAGCTTGCTGGCAGCCACTTCACCCACCCTTCATGGTTTAAACCTGAGCAGGGTAACACATGTAGCTATCTAGTTTGGTCAAAAAACTAAAAAATCAGATGTCTCCTTCCTCTGCTGCCCATAGCAGCCAAAATCCCTTTTTCTGACCTCCAAATCTGAACCTTCCTGACTCAAAGCAAGCCAGGGCAGAAGCAGGGCTGTGTCTCTCCCCAGGCTTGGCTGGAGCTGCTGCCAGCACCAAGAAATGGCTGGTGAGGGATGCCACAGACCACAACATCTTGCCCAGTCTTGCACAACGATCTGGCTGCAAGGGATGGAAAAATCAACCAAGACAGATCAGACATGATTCAACCCTTCAGAAGCATAATCCTTCACAAAACCACAGACCACTCATCGGCCTCTTCCACCCACAGAAGGCGCCTGACACGAGTGTCTCCTGAAAGCAGGGTGCCCTTGGCCAATGGTTGCAACAAATCTGGTTGCCTACAGGAGGAATGGCTGAAAACATGTCCCTGGAGGAGGTCATTGCATGGTTTTTCATGCAGCCTCTCCATGTGACTCACAGCCAGAACGGGTCACTGCAGCTCTGCTCCCGTGGTCCACCAGGACATCTGTGACACTGGGATATTTCCTGAAAAATCCCTTTGCCAGATTTCTTCTCCTGGGAAGATGAGAAGCCTCAGCTCCTCCACGATTTGCTCCTCTGGAATGTGGTCTGGAGGTTGTTTATCCAAACACATGAATTGTTTTTACAATTCATCATCAGCTGCATCGGACTCTGAGGTGTCAGTCATAAGCCTTCATTATCATTCTTGTTTAGCCTTCTGATGTATCCTTTCTCTTTCTTTAGTATAGTAACATAATATAGTACAGTATAATATAATATAATATAATATAATATAATATAATATAATATATATAATAATAATTCAGCCTTCTGAAAACATGGAGTCAAATTCTCATCCCTCATATCGTCCTGGGGACCTCACAACACCACACATCTACTCAACACATGCTGGACAGATCAGCATAAGAAGGAAACCTCTGGGCCAGGGACTGGGAATGGGAGGACAGAGCCAATATGGGCTGCCTTTGGATGGAGCACCTTGATTTGTGTCTCCCCTCACATTGGGTTCACCCTCTCCAAAGCCCCTCTCCCACTCTCTGCTATCATCCCCACTCCCAAAATGACTTTTCTGCACCTTCAGGCCGAACCTGAACACCAACCAGCAACTCCAGCCCCACACTGGAGCAGCCAAATCATTCCTACACATTCCTTCACACTGCAGACACTGACAAGGATCATCTACAAACACAGCAGAAGTTCAGAGAGCACACTGGACAGCTAGCACTGTTATCTTACACCCAAACTGTCCCAAAAAACACCACCCAGCCATGCTTACAGTCTTCCTAAAAGGCAATGTATGCCTGCCCCAAGCAGCTTTCTGCCTCCATGCCTTTGGTGCCACATAAGGCTCTTTGCTGCCACAAAGAGTTACTCCTCTCTCAAATGATCCCTAGTTTCAGAAAATGAATAAGGTTTCCCATTTCCTGCCCTGGATTACTGAGCAGTTTCCTATCAGGCAAACCCTGAGAGAAAAGTGTCTCCAGCAGAAGCCAGCCAGAGCAGTGCCAGTGACCACAGCCCGGCTGCCAGGCAGGGGCACCAACCAGCAGGGCCAGCTTCTGAGCAAATCCTGAGTAACAGCAACAGAAAAAGTCACTTCTCCAAACCCAAAAGCTCTTCCAGTAATGCGGCTGCTGACAAAGCTCTCACATGGAAGAATGCCTGCTGCCAAGAGAGGATTTCAGCCCCAAGGTGTGCCAGGGGAGATGGTGGGTTTGGCCAGCACTGAGGTGGACATTTCTTCCAAAGTGGATCCAAAACCTCCTCATTTGCTGTCCTGCAGTGACCAGCAGGGCCATGGAGAGTGTGCAGGAACAAAAGTCTCTATTCAGCACTGGCACTGGTACAGCAGATGCCTTGGAAGCAACTGCTGAGAAAAAGGAAAAAGGAGTTTTCACACCCCCTGAATGCCTTCCCTTGGGCCTGGAAGGCTGACAGGGCTTCCCTGCAATGCCCTGAGATACAGTTACAGGATTGCCCATCAGGGACCAGAATGAAACCACAAACCCATTTCCAGCAGACAAGCTAACAGCAATCAGATGGCCACAGCCCTGTTAATTGAGCATAATGAAGAAAGCCAGTGAAGCAGGGAACAGCCTCCACCGTTACCCCCTCGAGTCAGTGGCAGTGGTTTGGAGAAAAAAGCACTTCAACCTACGCTTCAGCTGGTGTTTCTGGAATGACTTCAATGACATAGGCCCCAGAGACAACATCAGGGAAGTCTTTATGGCGATCCTTCAGCTCTCTAGCTTTGCTGAAAAATGAAGAAATAGCAAAAAAAATATTTTGTCAAGACAGGAAAAAACCCCCCCACGCATTTTGCTGAAGTCACTTAACAGGAGTTGAGATGTTTTGCACACATTGGTCTGCCACTTCAGCATTCATTTTAACCCTCAGATGCACATATCAGTAATTATTACAGTTTTTTGCATGCATGCAGCTTTTTAATGTCTATTTCTGGTAAATGCAACTATTTCAATAGATACAGACAATCAGAGTTCAAACATTTCAAAGCTTTAGAAACTGCAGATTGTAGAATCACAAACTGGTTTGGGCTGGAAGGGACCTTAAATCCCATCCAGTCCTCACCCCTGCCATGGGCAGGGATAACTTCTGCTAACCCAGGGTGCTCCAAGCCCTGTCCAGCCTGGCCTTGCGCATATCCAGGGATCCAGGGGCAGCCACAGCTGCTCTGGGCACCCTGTGCCAGGGCCTCCCACCCTCACAGGCAAGATTTTTTTTCCTAATATCCCATCTAAACCCACTCTCTGTCAGTTTGAAGCCATTCCTCCTCATCCTGTCACTCCAGGCCTTTTGTAAATAGTCCCTCTCCATCTTCCTGTCAGGCTCCCTTCAGGTCACAAAACTCCTCTGCTCCAGGCTGAACAATCCCAATTCTCCCAGCCTTTCCTCATGGCAGAGCTGCTCCACCCCTCTGATCATCTGTGGGGCCTCCTCTGGACTGGCTCCAGCAGGTCCAGGACCTTCCTGTGCTGGGGACCCCAGAGCTGGATGCAGAGCCCCAGCTGGGGTCTCCTCAGAGCAGATCAGAGGGACAGAATCACCTCCTGCAATCCTGAACATCTAAAACAACCCCAACCCCACGTGTTTCAATGCTTTGTTCTACCTGTGGATCCTGCACAAGGGAAAACCTCTGGTTATCTTTACAGGGCATGGCACTACCTGCTCCTGAGTAGCCAGAGCATGAATAAGCAAGTCCACACAAAAGCTTCATTTGACATTAAGTGAAGAGTTTAATGGAAATAACTTTATAGAAATGTAGGAACGCACGTGGCTGACGTAGGCCATGAAAACATACAACAACATGGATGCAACCCCAGGACAGAGCCACAGTCACCAGCTACTCTCTTCTGAAGCATTAAGGAGAAGGAAAAGCCAGGAGTTGTTTAAGAGCTAGCTCACAGGAGAGTCTAGAGGAGAGTCCCACCAGGTGGCAGCCGCAGAGGAGGAGGTGGCCAGGGCTGGCTGGGTTTGTCACCAGCACACATCCAAATCCACGTCCCCAGCTGGATCCAAATGCATGCAGAGACCACGCTGGGAAAGGTGAGGAGCCACCCTGGGTACTTACCTGGGGGTTAGGGACATCATTCGTATGCCAATGTATTTCTTTTTGGTTACAGCTTTTCCTGCAAAAAGGAAAACGGGTCGTGATCAGTGCCCTGACACAAAGAGCCTCTGGCTTTCAAAACTTTATCTTCCACTTTTTCAGACTGTCACTATGTGAAACAACATGAGCTCACACGCTGCTGCTCTCAAGGTGAAAAAAGGGAATTTTTTTTCCTGACTCCAACATTTATAGATTTCCAAGAGTGACAGTGGATTGGAGGGTGACAGTGCCACCTCTCCCATGGCACTGGATAAACTAACAGTCCAGCAAATTTCTCTTCTTCCATAAAAGAATGCAAAACAATAAGTTATTTACAGAAAGTGTGTGAGAAAGTTTGTTACAAGAATGTAAATATCAGAAGGCTTAGAGAATCTTAAAAAAAATCAAAGTGACAGCTCAGACTTTCAAGATTTATACCTTTTTTTTCTATTTTTTACTTGCTTGGCTTGCTTGATGGCAGCACACGTTTTATAGTTATGGATAACTTGAGAAATACTGTTTATGGTTAAATTTACTTTTTGGTTTTATAGCTGGCATTTTTATTTTGATGGTCTGAGATATTGAGTTTATTGAGTTAGGAATAATTTTTTGTGTGTGTGTTTTTAATTTAGGTCTATTTTTGACACTTTTGCAGTTTGGTTAAATTGCTTATTGTTTTGGTGCTTTTTATTAGCTTTATTTTTGTGGATATGAGCATTTATATGGCAGACTTTTACAAGTAGTTTTTTTATTTTGCTAGCGATATCTTTTTACTCTTCAGCAGCTTAACTTTTTTTTTTTTCCACTGCTATTTAGCTTTTTTTTACTTTTTTAGCCATTCTTACAGAGTGTTGGCTACTATTTATGAATTAGTGTAGAAATAGAGTTTTGGCTACTTTTTTTTTTAATCTTAATGCCAGCCAGGCTGCTGGCTTTCTGGTTTATCACTGTTTTCACAGAATGGTTTGGGTTGGAAGGGACCTTTAAGGTCACTTATTTCCAACCCCCTGCCATGGGCAGTGATGCCACCCACTAGAGCAGGTTATTTTCTGGTTTTCCTCTTCCCAAGTACTGTACCTTTAGCTTGTCTGTCATGGGATTCAGTTAGGAACTTCTTTATTTTATCAGATGGGATAGCAAATGAGATTCCTGCTGTAACTTTTAATGTGTTAATTCCAATGACTTCACCATCCTGGAGGAAAAAAAAAAAAAAGCCATTATTGGCAAATATGGAATACCTCAAAGAGAAATGAGAGAAATGGATTTTCTCATCCGAGCAGTCACAAAGACAAATTCACATTTTGTAGCTGGTCTTCAATTTTCTTTAAGTTTTAAGTGTAATTTTTTGAGTCTATTGATAAAACACTACTTAGGAATTTTGGAAAATCAATGTGATTATTCATCTTGCTGCAGAAGAGATAAAACTGGGCAATTCTTATGCTTGCAGCAGATGAGCAACACATTCTGCAGCTATTCTGTGTATATTTCAGCAAGCATCATATAATGCCTGGCACCAACTGCTCCTGAGACACTTACATAATAACTTAAAGAAAAATGCAGTTTGCCAAAATCAAACTGTAAACTCCAAGAGCTTTGGATGAAACATCTCTGATGTCATCTCTTTTGAAACCTCAGCAGTTTCATTCTCTGGTTCATCCCAGACAAAAACTCTCTAACTACAGGTGGTTTTAAGTGAATGTGTGCTGTTAATTGGGTGGGGAAAAAAATTGCCAAATCTCCTCCAAGGCAGAAACTCTGAGTATTTCTGAGTTTCAGTCTGTGCCATGCCTCATGAGGACTCAACCCCATGCACCCTCAGGAGACCTGAGAGCTCTCACTCAGTTTTGCAACTGCTTCAGTTCATTCTACAGTATTGGCAAATAAACCCTAATATCCTGAAAATATGTGGATTTTTTGGTGGATCCAAAATGAAAGGGTAGATACATTTTGGAAATATTTAGCTGAGTTTCTGTGTGAAAAGAAAATAATTGCCAGCTGCAGGGTAAACAGCAAGGGCAAACACCTCACTGTAAAATGTGTTTTTTTCCTTTTTGCAGGGCTTGAGCAAAAACAACATTACACTTGTTTGAAACTATGCAAACCATAAACATCCTAAATATTGAAATCCAAATGTAGCTTTTTGCCAACATAAACACAGACAACTGATTAGTAAGAACCATGTGAATTTTGTGTAGTCAGCCAAATATTGAAAACTGCAAATCCCACATCTGGTGGGGGGAGTTTGCTTTTTTTTGTTGGTTTGGGTGGGGTATATTGTTTGGTTTTATTTTTTAAAATAAACAGAAATAAGCTTGACACTAAGCAAACTTAGGGAAACTCTTACCAGATTTACTAGGGGTCCTCCAGAATTCCCATACTGAAAATAAACATAAGGACATATTTTAGTATTTACCTCCTCATTTGTTGTAAGCAAAATATAAAATAAATTTTTGCAATATTTCTGTAGTACTGCTTCCATTATCTATTAAATTCATGCAATAGAACATTTTTAAATAAACCATAAACCACAGTTTAACATCACTCTTTTAGCTGAGCTTTGCAAATACTTTCGTTTTCTTTCTCCTGCCAGAGTAAGTTAAGAAAGCCATGGTTTTCCTTTTGTTTTTTTAGAGCCACTCTAGAAACTGAGAGGATTTTAGGCCAGCTCTGGGAGCTGTTAGTGAAGATAAGTACAAGGCCAAGATCTGAAGTACAAAAACTATTATTTTGCCTTAATGCAGAAACAAACTTGAACCCTTCAACGAAGCTTGGCTTCTTCTTCAGAAAACAAGATGGATTTCCAAAAGATAGCTATTTGCCAGAGAATATTGCCTCCTCCCTTGCAATCTGCAAGGATTTTGAAGTGGAGGCAGATACTGTGCCTGGTGTGGCTCCTTGGGGGGATTTCTCCGTAACACCACGCGCTGCTGCGGTGCAGATGTCCACATTTACAGGGACAGGAACGCTCCCTGCTCCTCAGAAGGGCATCCCAGGAGGGATTTCTGTGGGGAAAGGCCAGGGCTGAGGGCAGCAGCCCGGAGGGGACGTACATTGATGATGGCATCTGTCTGGATGTAGTCCATGTCGGAGTTGCGCAGCCCCAGCTCCTTGCCCCCGCGCTGCGTGGTGCTCACGATGCCCGTGGTCACCGTGTTCTGCAGGGAAAAGGGGCTGCCAATGGCCACCACAAACTCCCCTGGCCTCAGGTCTGCAGACTGGCCCAGCAGAAGAACTGGCAATTTACCCTGAAAAATAAAAAAGAAGAAAAAAAAGAAAATTCGAATGTTAAGGCACTGCTCCGCTGGCAGAACAAATGTTACGGAAGGCTGAATGCATTCACAGGGTAGAGGAAAAGAGGGAGAGAGGCTTTCATCCCTCAGGGATCTTGTTCTGTTTTCTTTGAGAATTTTGTGTGTGGGTTGGTACAGAAACATCCAGAGTGGGCTCTTTACACTGCAGAACTTTTTCCACAACAGGTACCCATTAAATCGAGAACAATTCAAAGACCAAAGGAATATTTATGCTCTGCTGTACAAAGCAAACATCTGATGATACTAGAAAGGAGCCACATCCAGCACTTCTTGAAATAATTAGCAAACAGCTGCTGAAATAGAAATGATATTGTTTGAGAGTGAACACATGAAAGCAACAGCCCAAGAGTTTTAAGCATGCATGTGTACAGTTAAAAGCATTTTATGTTCTGACAAGACACCAGCTAATGATTCATCTAAATTTCTTTTAATAAAGTATCTCTTCTAAATAATTATATTCCCTCCTACATACAGAGATGTCCTCCTCTGAAGATGTTAGGATTGAAGGACCTGATGTGATTTTTCTGTTATGACGGTGCAGGATACCATTATACTTTCCTTTCAAGATCTTATCACTAAACACAATAAATATTACATAGTTGAAGACATTCCCACTAAAACATTCTTAAAATCCAACAAACACTGCATTGTACAGCAATTAAAAATAAAAAAAGGGGGGGGAGGTTGGATCCACACATTTGTTAATGAATCAAGGGTGTTCTGAAACAGGCCATGCTTCAAATAAACACTTTTTTTATTCATCACCTGCCTGTAAAATACACATTGAGTGCCATTTCTTCCTTTCTTCACACTTTTAAAAGTCAATCTCTACACTAACAGTGATGTGACATGTTTTTAAATATTTTTATCTGTTGTCTAAATGATCCTGGCCCTCCCCAGGTAATTTAACCACATATTTAACCCATGGTTTTTAACCATGTCACTAGACTATTTCTATTAGCAGCAATGAACACGTATAAGTTTAGACTTAAGGATTTGGAGGATTAGGTTACTGAACCCAAAAATCAAACCAGAATTCTGGAGGCATTTATCTTTTGCTTGGCAAAGCTAACTTGAACCTAGCTTTCCTCTAAGCTTGACCTACTTCAAGTTTTGGCAAAAAGGGAAAATACTGAATGTTTAATTTGGAAACTCATTGCTGGCTCTGGTTTTGTTACCAGCAGTTTGAAAGCCTGACTCAATAATTCATCCATAGGGACAAATTCCCATCACTTTGTGTTTTTCACCTACAGTTTATTTCAAATATCCTAAGAGACAGACAATGCCTGCAAAGTAGAAAGCAAAAAATAATGGCATCAGTTATCACTATATGCTGCTGCAAATACAGGAGTCATGGTTTTAATGTTTAACAAGACTGGTCTTGTGTATCCTTTATCCAGCTTTGTTACAACCCCACCAGGGAAGTTTTATTCAGATGAGCAGATTGTTTCAATAAAATTCATTGCCAGCTCCCAGACAGGGTAAGATGCTTTATGCAAATTTATCTTTCAGTCTCCAGACAGCAAGAAAATAATTAAACCAACAGAGTGAGCTGGGAGAGCAACAGAATAGGCAGCACAGAAAGCAGAAGGCATTTCCATGTCTGTTTGCATTCAGAGGAAAGTTATCACAACCAGCAATGCCCTACTGATGAATAATAATAATAATGATAAAACGCAGCCCTTATCAGTGCCACAGCCACAGATAAATCCAGCTGTGGCTTACCTCTGGGAAGGATCCAGCAGCTCTGCCCCGTTTCCCCATCACTTCTGCAGCAGAAAATCAGCAGCAGCATCCCAGGGCACAGCTCCAGGATGATTCCAGGGCAGGGGAATCAGGCAGTTGTGCTCAGCTCACACAAACAGCCCCATCTGGGTCATGTTTGGACACAGGGAGCACCCTGGCCCTTCCTCCTCCCACCAGATGCTATTGAGCTTACACAGCACATGTTTGCAAGATGTCATTGGTCAAAGCCAGCATCTTCTTTTGGCACTTCTCTTCCTTCTTAAAAAAAAACAACAACCAAAACAACAAAAAAAACCAACAAAAAAAACCAAACAAAAAAAACACATACAAAAGACAAAAAGTGGCTTTTGTTTGTGTCCCAGTGCACTGAACACAGATACTTCGCAGAAAAAGGGGACATTTATCAGCAAATGAAACAGAGACAAGCAAAAGAAAACAGAACAGTTTTTCTGTTTCATTACCAGGAAAAAAAAAAAATAAAGGCCGGTCGTGTACAAAGTTAAAATATTTATACAAAGTTCCTGAGTTGTAACAACAGTCACAAAGCCAAAATTCCATCTGGCAGCAGAGAGAAAGTACAGGAACGGCCTGTGACTAATACAATTGTGATTGTGCTGAGTTTTCAGGGCTGTGCCTATACTAGCCAGGTTTCAGTTCAAGCTCTGATGCTGTATGGATTGGCTGCAGGTCACCCCTGTGACTCAACATGCCTTCTGGAAAGTCTGGCTAACCTTTCCCTTGCTAGAAACAAAAATCCGTGCAAAAACCTCCTGGTCCTGCAGACATTATGAAACACAGCTTTGGAAAACGTGTCCTGTATTCCCTGTGATCTCCTGGTGTGGGGCAGGACTGACACAGTGACAGCAGTGTTATGGATATGTGTTACTATATAAGTGCCCCTAAAAAACAATGCCATGAAGAATTGGTTATGGTGAATATATGTGCTGTCATGGCTGTAAATTTGAGGAATTCTCTCTAAAATAGCTTAAAACATTGCCACACTCACTATTAAATTTTGAGTATTAAAAAAACCAAAACAAACTCAAGTATTTATTTACATTGTGCACGTGGTTTTGAAATTAAATCAGTATAAAACCTATGAAAATCCCGTGATGGAGTGGGACAAACATCCTTTAGCAGCCCAGAAGGAGCCCTGGCAGTGCCAGGCAGGCAGTGCTGTACCAGGATCATGTCAGAACACCCCCTCTGTGCCCTCACACCCTGCCCCTGGCAGGCTCATCCCAGGGAAGTTCAGAAATCCTGGTGAAATGAGTGTGAGTTCAGGGCTCTTAATAACTATACTTAAGAAATGTGCATTCTTCAATCTTTACATAATGTCTGATGGCCCTCAGGATGACATAAGCACCGCTCTAAATCGTGATTCTCCTGCTTTGACTGCAGATTTGCCAGTGCAGTTAATTAAAAGTGCCAGGCAAAGGACCATGCCTTGCAGCACAGGCAGCAGGGAGCCAGGAACACCCAAACCCAGCTCTCCCAGTGACTCACTGCATGGCTTTGGGCAACATATAATACCTTTTCTACCCCTGTCTTTTCTAACTCTTGCTTTGATGAAGCCTTGGGGCTCTGCTGGATCCCTGTTTACTCAATAAAACAAATCTGCAGGCAGGCATTCTGCAAGCACACAGAAATAGGACCAAACATGCAAACCCCTAAGTGGCACATGACTCACTGTTTACACCCAGGCAGAGAAGGAGCCATTAATTAGGGTTAATATTTTAAGACATTCACATCCCAAAGGGCTTCAGACATTTTTATATATGGATTTGAGTCCAACCCTGGATAAACACAACTCCCACGACATGGAGAGCTGCACACCACCACAAGAAATGGCTCCAGCCAACAATAGGACACAGCTATTGTGGCACAAGAGGAGAGGTAGAGATCAGCATCATCAGCCAGAGGGACTCGGAGAAACATGGAATCATTTAGGGTGGAAAATGTCACAGACATCTTTTATGAAAAATCCTTTCCTTAGGATTTTTCCTCCTGAGAAGCTGGGAGGCCTCAGGAAAAAAATGTAAACAATGATTATCTGCTGCTGTGAAATGCAACAGGTGCATCTGTGATTGCTCTCATGTGGTTGTTTCTAATTAATGGCCAATCACAGTCAGCTGTTATCATTCATATCAATCACAAGCCTTTGTTATCATTCTTTCTTTGTCTATTCTTAGCTAGCCTTCGGATGAAATCCTTTCTTCTATTCTTTTAGTATAGTTTTAATATAATATATATCATAAAATAATAAATCAAGCCTTCTGAAACATGGAGTCAGATCCTCGTCTCTTCCTTCATCCTAAGACCCCTGTGAACACGGTCACAGGAAAAAACCTCTGAGATTATGGAGCCCAACCCCTAACCCAGCACTGCCAAGGCCACACCACTGCCCCGTGTCCCCAGGTGCTGCCTCCACTTGGCTTTTAGATCCCCCCAGGAATGGGGATTCCAACACTGCCCTTCTATGAGGAAATTTATCCCAAAATCCACCCTGGGCCTGCCATGGCCCAGCCTGAGGCCGTTCCCTCTGCTCCTGTCCCTGTTCCCTGGCAGGAGCTGTGCAGAGCCAAGGGCCCCCAATCCTTCTTTTCTCCAGGCTGAGCCCCTTCCCAGCTCCTCAGGGATTCTGCAGCCCCTTCCCAGCTCCTCAGGGATTCTCCAGGCCCTTCCCAGCTCCGTTCCCTTCCCTGAACACCCTCCAGCCCCTCCATGTCCTCCTTGCAACGACGGGCCCAAAACCACCCCAGGATTTAAGGTGCAGCCCCAGCAGGGCCAGCACTGACGTTCCCCTGGTGTCCTTTAACAGCACAACTTGAGTCAGATAAAATAAGTGAAATCTGGACAAAACAGCTCCAAAACTAAGAGAGGAGGAGGCAGAAAACCACCACCAGGCACTGCCACAGAGAAATGGAAACCAGGAGACACACAGCCATAAGCAGGAGGTGTTTTGGTTTGAGCTTTTTCATCCATGAAATAAGTGAATGTGTCTCCATGCTGGCACAGAAAACAAGTAAATCCCTCCTCTGTTCTGTAATCCCCTTCATTTGTGGATGGAAAGTCAGGAATTTGCAGGAAGCACTTTGCAGTTCAATAAAGGGATGAAGAAGAGACAAAAGTTCTGAGTTCAATTTGTGTTAACCAGCGACAGATCTCCTTCATGCTTCTTATTTTTAGGTGGGAAAGGCACAGATGAACACTAACTCAGCTGTGAGTGTAACTCTGGCAAAACATGTAACTGTCCTGGGAATTGCATTTCTGTTCTGACTAATTCAACTTTCAGAATACGTTATGGCAAAACAAAACCACCAGTCATGAGCACATAAAAATATAGAATATCATCTACAATCTAGAAACTGCTTGACAGAGAGTCAAAGAAAACAAAAAACCCAGGCTGAACACATTACAAGCCTCCAAAAGTATTTCATCTATAGTTAGAAAAGCAAAACTGAGTCTCCTTATCTAAATATGGAGCATGGGAAGCTTGTAGGAAAAAAAAAGAAGAAAAGGATGAAGTCTTGTTTTGATATGTCACCAGCTTTTCAATTGCCTGGCAAGAGATTGCTGTTCTCCCTTAAAAATAAAATGCAAATGAAATTACAATTAAATAAAATAAAAATAGCAATTAAAAATATGCTGGTGCTGGCAGACCCACCCTGGAGATGTGAATATTTTGATGCATGGGAAGCTGGACCGGCATATTGTCCTCACAGTGAGGGCTACTAGAAGCTGAAGATGGCAGGAAACCGCTGCTGCCTAAACTGATGAATACACTGGAGTTAAGATCCAAGCTTTTAACAAGATATTTCATTCCTATGGGTCCTGAACACTTCTGGAAGCAATATGTGGGCTCAGGCTCCTGAGAGGAAGCAGTGTATTACCCAGCCACAGATTTCGAAGTGAAATAGCATTTCAGAAAAGCCACTTACATCTGGTGTCCAAGTAGTTTGTTTCTTCAAAATGTGGGCTATTAAAATATTGATGCATAAACAGGGAAGTTTGCTTTCCTGCCTCCTCCAGTTTGTACACACAGGGGAAAATCAAATCCCCTCTGACCACAAAGATACAGACACTCATTGCCTCAGGAAACCACCAGGGCAACGAGGGCAGGAGGTCTTGTTGATTCAACAGTGTCAAACAGAGTGTTTATTAGTCAGATGCAGGAGAAACCTTAAGCTGAAGGTTTCAGCCGAAGGGCTGAAACGTCACCACAAATTAGAGACGGGTCACAGCCCCACAGCTGCTGCACCATGCAGATGCCAAATCCTGTCTGGGGTAAAGAGACAGGAACTGGCCACAATGAGGAGCAAAAATCTTCAGGACCTGGTTTGTGTTCCCTGTGATTTCAGGGTCAGCGTCTCATGGCTGGGTTTTGAGCATGTAGAAAGACGAAACATCTCAAAATAAAGCCATTCACCCTGCTCCCCCCATCATTTTTGCGGACAGAGCTCTATTTCCAGGGCTGAAAAGGGTCTCCAGAAAAAGCCACCTCCACCTTCCACTACTTTGGGCTTCCAGTTTCCATTTGGGTTGGGTTCTTTTATAATTCTGCCTCCCATTAACCCTGATACTGACCATTAAACCACCCTGAAATTTCCTCCCCTCCTGCTGGTGTTTATTTGTCAGCAGCTGTATCACACATTCTGATTTAACAAGGTAGTTATTTGCCTCGAGATGGATCCCACAATGCAGCTCTGCCAGCAAAAAAGCATCTGCTCCCTTTGGGGTGTTGTGCAACAGTTCTGATGGGTTTCACACTTGCTGCAGTATCACACGTGCCACGCAGGACACATTATTTATTTCACCAGTCCCTGCCTCTGCTGCCAAAATCCAGCTTTTTCTAGGGAAATCTTATGAATTTAGCATGTTCATGTCCAAATTGTCTGCAACTGCACTGCTCCTTTCTAGTGATGTGCTCTCCTCATTGCATTTGGAAGGATATTTAGATTGGATTCATGGCTACCACATCGATTCCAATCTTACTTCCTGCTTTCAACACTCCAGCCAACTGCTCAGTGTCACCACAGACACGAGAAACACTGGTGCTCTCTTTTATAGACTGTAAAAACAAGCACATTTTAGGACTGGAACAACTGCTCCAAGGTTTCTGTTCCTCATTGACTGCAAGATGTTTTTCCACGGAGAAGAATTTAATCAGGGAAACGGTTCATCCTCAGTGCTGCCCAGATTTTACCACCCTTTTCATTTCCTACTGCACTCAGCAAAGCCAAATTAGTTCTGGTAATGTCTCTGACCAGATGTTCACACCTTAGAGGGAAAACAGCATCCAGGCTGCTGCAAAATCTGAGCAGCTGTAGGAATACCAGCTGAGAGCCTGATCCCAGCTCTGTTCCTAATCACAGAGCATTCTTCACCCTTCAGATCCTGCCTTAGCAAGCCACACATAAAAAAGAAGAAAAAACCCTTCTGCATCTTTGATGTCACCTTTAAATAATTTATTCCAATTCAAGAACTTCGCCTCTTACTTCAGAAAAATTCTTAAGGATGGTTTCCATGCCGTTTCCAGATTTTTAAGGGGTCATTTGTACCAGGCCATTGAAGTCTCTGGCCAGCAAATGCATTTCAAATTCAACAAATTATTACCCCTGTGATTTTAAAAAAGTCTTTCATGCATCTGAATGACTGCAAGGCATTCCAGCACAAAAATGAAAGCTCAAACTGAACTTGAAAGGGTAGATAAAAATGCCCTATAAAAGTTCAATCTGAGAATCAATTTCTCAGCTGACCACGTTTCTATTTTAACTTTTTTTTTTTTTTTGTGAACACATAAAGCACTGTTTTTAATTCTCAAATGCAAAGCAACACCTGTCCTGTGAACAGAGGTGCCTCAGGCCTCACCTTGAACTGGGATTGCCCAGTGGCAGGTTACCAGAGCTGGCTGGAAATCTGGGTCTCCCATCCCTTTAAATTTCCTCCCCAATAATTTTGATAATTCTCAAAATCATCCTGAGCTGCAATGGGGGAGGCCAGGAGGAGAGCATCACCCAAGGTACTGCCTTGTACAGCTGATAAGGTGCTTCCAAAGGCAGCTCAGACCAATTCCAGCCCTGTTGAGCAGTGCTTTCCACCACAAGCCCATCTGGATGAATTATCTTTTCCCCAAGCTGCTTCCAGGTTCTCCCTTCCCACAAGCAGCTTCCCAGGACAACTAGGAGCCATTTCCTCAAGGTATCAACATTCAAGCCCATGCCTGCTCTTTTCCTGAGTCCTCAAACTGCCCATCACACCAGTTCAGTGTCTCCTCTCTGTCCCCTCTCTCCTCTGGAGTTCAGGTTCCTGCTGCTCCAAGTCCTCTCCTCACCACGTCTGCTCTCCCCTCCACCTTGTACTTCCAATTTTAAAGCATTTTTCCAGCTGCCCTTCACTCCCTGCCCCATCCTGCTCACCCCAATGCTGCCAGTGCTCGTGCTGGGGGATCTTTCCCTTTGTTTCTTACTGCTTTTTCTTATTTTAAGATAAAAATGAGAAAACAAGCGACGACACGAAAACAGAGAAAAAAAAACCAGAAATATTATTGGTTCTGTTTGGTTTTTCTGCCTGGTTGCTGTTCAGAAGCTTTTAAAAAAGAAGAAGATTTGAAGTTATAGAGGTGGCAAGGGAGCAGCAGGAGCACTCCATCCCTCAGGTCATCCAAGAGCTCTGCGTTAGGCGCTGGCTTAGTCATGAACTCTGGCACAAACACTTCTGACCTCGCTGGGGAATAGCCCTGAACTAAAACAACGCTGCAAGATCTACACATTTCTGAGTCATGTGTTTCAAATGAAGCATTCCTGCCCCTCAAACTTGGAGGTCATCAACTGACAGAGCAAACGAGGGGAGCCAACGTGAGCAGCACCCCAAAGAGCCACGTCCAGCTGATGGCAGCTCCATTACACAGCATTTCCACACAATATTCTCCTTGCTACGTGTGCAGAATCTCCTGACAGCTTTTCTGCTGTGGCAGGAGGCACAGCAATGCTGACAGAGGAGCATTTGATATGGAGGGGGATCATAGATGGGAAGCTGCTCAGAAAACCTCTTGCAGTGTAAGAACATCTTTCCAAGCTGGCTTTAATTTCCATGCTCAAGATGCTCCCCAAGGTATTTTCCACTTTAGAATCTGCATCAGCAAGGGAAAAATGTGTCCTCTAAAAGCCATTTGTGACTTCAATATAAAACAGAGTAGCACAAGCAAAACACCCCTATTTCTCCTCTGAGACAGTCATATCAGATAAAGTGTGTGCAAACCAGCCAGCAAAATGAGGGGCTGTTTTTTATTTTGAGGATAGATGAGAAAGTGCATTTGTAATACTTTCACTACACTGAGAGGTGACAAAATTACCACTGCCACCCACAAACTTGGCTTTTAAAAAGGTGTATCCACCTAGTTCATACATTCTCAACAACCCAGCCCAGTAAACAACTTGTTTTTCCTTCCAACCTGAAAATCAGCAACACGTTTTGGAAAGGAGGACGTTAAATTAGAGGAACAAAAAGCCTCTTGCTTTAACGACTCACCTGAGAATCTATTTTAATTAGTGCAATGTCTGATTTTTCATCAACATCTTTAATTTTGGCTTCGTAGGTCTCCCCGTTCTTGAGCTCCACCTTCACCCTGTTCTTGTTGGTGACCACGTGGGCGTTGGTGACGATCAGCCCATCCTCAGAGACAATGAACCCCGAGCCACTGGCTACAGGAACCTCCCTCTTGGAAAATGGAAGTCTAAAAGACAAGGGAAATAAAACATTTATTGCTGCAAAAAGGATGAAAGGTCACAAATAATTCCAAATAGCACACAGCCAAAAGGAGTTTGGTGAGTTCTTAATGTTTTAAGATATCTGCTGTTACTCTCATTAAGAAGATAAAGCACATCCATTACTTTAGCTAATTATTTTTCCATGACTCTTAAATTATCTTTAATTCTTAAGCATGACAAATATTTATTATCTCAAAACCTCTTTGCTATTTCATGCCATCCATCAACATTTCTGTCACACTGGCAGCTGTTTTCAAGAATTAAATAAAAAAGAAAAAAAAAAAGAAATAAAACCAAGGCTGGGCATCTTGTTTACTTGCGAAATAATTCAATGTGAACCACAGCAGGGGCGATCTTCTCCACCACATCTGCAATAAAGTTGTATTTGTGCCTCAGGCTGTTGGGATGTTCTTGGCCTGGAATAGAAACACAGGACGTGTCATGAGTTCCTCAAGTGACTGCAGGAGGGCCATTGCAAAACACCTGAATTAAAAAAAGCTCTGAGTGGGCATCTTTCCCTTCCTTAAAAGTCGTCTGCAGCATGACCCTCGGCCCTAGATTCCCTCCCTGCTTCTCTGCACAGAGGTGGAGTGCTTTGTCCTTAGGGGAAATGAGCCAGGAGCCTCCTGGTGTGGGGTGCACCCCACTGGGCCATGGGGCTCATCCCCTGTCTGTGAAAGGGATTTTTGTACTCAGACGCCTCCCTTGCTGCCCTCCTTTTCTGGATGGTCTACTTAGCCTGGTCTTCCCAGATTAAACAAGCCAGCTCTGTTCCTCTGCCAAAATACGCCTTCTTGGAGGGTTCTGCAGTCTCAGGCTGCTGCTTTTGTAAAATGCCGAGGACACAGAGGTCCTGACCCCAATGTGAGCCCTCAGCAGCTGCTGAGAAAGTTTAAATTGGGTACGGGGTTGGGCTTCCTTTCCCACCAGTGTCCCCACACAGCCTGACCCAGCAGCCCCTGCCTGGCACCTACGTGTGGAAGAACCTTCCACGCATTCACAAAACCCCACTCGAGGCATCCTTCCCACCCTGAGCTCCATCAGCTCCACGGATCCCACCCTGGGCTCCACCAGCTCCACGGATCCCACCCTGAGCTCCACCAGCTCCATGGATCCCACCCTGGGCTCCACCAGCTCCATGGATCCCACCCTGAGCTCCATCAGCTCCACGGATCCCACCCTGGGCTCCATCAGCTCCATGGATCCCACCCTGGGCTCCACCAGCTCCACGGATCCCACCCTGGGCTCCACCAGCTCCACGGATCCCACCCTGGGCTCCACCAGCTCCATGGATCCCACCCTGAGTGAGCTCCACCAGCTCCAGGGATCCCACCCTGGGCTCCATCAGCTCCAGGGATCCCACCCTGCTCTGGAGCCGCCCCCAGGGCTGTGAAATGGATAGGACAACACAATGGTTCCACAAAGCTCTGCATTCCTGGGCAGTGCTGCAACAAAAGCTCGTGGTCACCGGGCATTCAGCAGGGGCCAGCGGGGTTTTCAAATGCCTCTGGATACCCAGCTCACATTGTGGCCAACAGAAAACCTGTCTGCACCAAGGGAAGTATAAAAATCTCTGGGGAAAACTACAGTTCTGACACAGCTCCTCCTTCTCAAGCAGTTCAGGGGCAAAACATTGCTGTTTAAACTTGGGAGCAGCTATGCAAATTGGGAACACCCCAAAGAGTTATTTTGTGTTCCTTCAGAGGCGAGAAACACCCTTTGTTTTCATTTCAGCTTTATCTGGTGCATCCATCTCCTGCTATACATGCACAAGCCAAGCCTGTAACAGGCTTTCTGAAGAGTATTAATGGGCTGTGCTGCTCCCATCCATCTTTGCCATTTGGCTCCTAAATCCATGCAGAGATTAAAGCAATAAGCAGCTTGTGGATGCTGTAAGTGCCTTTGACGGTGTAAGAGGACGATTTATTTGCAGAATCATAGAAGGACTATCCCATAAACCTATCCCAATACCAAAACCCCGAATGCCCTTTGCTGTTGGAAAAACCAGAGAGAGGAAAGCCATGCAAATTTTCAAGCACACACTGGAGGCAATAATGATTTGCGAACAAAGTGCCCCTGCTTTTAACACTAACCAGACACTGGTTTGGTTCAGGGGTGAGCATGTTCCAGGTGAGCTCCCAATGCCAACAGCACACGCTGACCCTCAGGAGAGGGGTGCATGCTCCTCCCAAACACCATCTGTCACTCAGGGACAGGTTTTTTCCTTATTTATACCCTGTGAAACATCTCAAGGGCTTTTAAATGCAGCCAGTCACAAGCAGCAGCCACATAACCCGCTGTGCTGTTTCAGAAATGTTTATCTGCTTTATGAAGCAACAACATCAATCAGGAAACTTTTGTCCTCACCTCACTGTTTTCCTCAAGAGAATTCAGTGCTTTCTGATTTACACAAGAGCTGCTGCCCTTGAGCTTTTGTCCCACAGAGGACATTTATCTGATTGAGAAATATCAATTTCCTAAACGATTTATATTCCTTACTAGAAATATTCAATATCAAGCAAATCGTGTCATTGCTGTAAAGCTGACAATTATCACAGGGACAGTTCTGGGAAGCTGTTACAATAAGAAATGCAGCCTGGAATTATCCACTTGCATTAAATAGGTGCTTGGACAGATTATCAGGTGGGATTAAACGTGGTGCTGGGCTAAAACTCCACAGGGCACTGCTGCAGCCATGGATCTGCTTTTTGATCACTGCTTACAAAATGATTTCATCTCAGCTGCAATGCTGTAGACATCCAAAGGTCACATCCTGCCCTTGGGAAAAAAAACAAAAAAAGCTCCACGGATGAGGGAACTACACAGGCAAAGCACAGCTTTTTTTCCATGCCTTCAATCTTTTTTGCTTTTAGCCATTGAAGAAGAAAAAGGATGCCCAGGCTGTACATGGTGAGACTGCTAATACCTCATCTCAGAGCTGCCTTCCCTTGGAACTGGGGCCTACAAAAGCCAGGATTTCAGAGGCAACAGTATTTTGTCCATGATCCACCCCGTCATGCAGTCCCAAACTAAACTGCAGAGTGAAAAAAAAAGTTCAGAATTTCCTACCTTTGAAAAAGTTAGATAATAAATACTAATTCATGGCATACTGACCCAAAAAGCTCCCAGCAGCTGGCCACGCCTGCCTGTTGCTTATGCATTAGGAATTCCTGCATTGTGTAACACGGTTTTGCAACTGCTCTTGAACCACTGCCCATTTAAATGGAAAACATACCATTTTAAAGCAAAAAAACAACAGTCAAAGCTCTGATCTTGATGGATTCATCGATGAATGTCAACAAAAAAATTCCTGTAAACTGGTCTTTACCATCAACATAAAATCTGAATGCTGTAGTAAAAGTATTGATACATTGAAAATTCTTTTATCACTGAGATAAAGAAAATGGAGGGGAAAAAAAAGCTGATTTCTCTTTGGGATTACTGAGCTGCACATGGGGAGCTGAGAGCTGCACTGATCTTTCCTACAAGAAACCACCTTTGTGTGTGCAATTTACCTAACATTTGAACCTAGGCAAAAAGGAGCACATGGAAGCTTAAATGGCCATAAAAATACCAACACTACAAATGTAATATGGGCAGATGCTCATTTCTCAACCACCACAGGGCAGTTTCCAGCAGTGAAACTGAGAACATCACCAGGTATACTTCCCACTTCTCTCTTACACATCTATTTTCCAGCTGCACCAATAGCTCAGGGCCTTTTGGTAACAAATATGTTTTGGGTTTTGGTTTGGGGGGAATTTTTTTTGTAGGGGTGGTGTTGTTTTGGTTTGCTTCTAAATCATTGAGAACTGGGCTTGAATAAAGCTCAAGTTCCTAAATACCTTCAGGCTCTGATGCTCAAATCTTCCCAGACTGCTCCTCTTTCTATTTATATGCTGTGATTATTGTGTTTTGTAATGTTTTTATTGAACTATTGCACAATGCCCTAAAATGCCCACGAGCACGGCTAAGAAACCTTTATTAATTACATTATAAAGATGATTATTGTGAATTCAGTTAATGACAAAAAAAAAAAAAAACCAAAACAAACCCCAAATATAAATAGGTTATAGCATGAAAAATTCCCAAGGCAACTAAATTCTTCAAGGACTTCAAAGGTGTGCTGGCTGCCAGCCCTGAAATGAGAAGGCAAATCTCTGCCAACTGGCATTAACAGGGCTAATAATCAGTAAACAGACTGCTAGGAGAGCAAGACAGAGTACCAAGCCATGAAAAAAAGCACACCCAGCTGTAAACAACTGAAGTAATTTGGTTTCATGAAGAGGAGCCAAAAAGCAAATTAAGATCTGGGTTCTGGTTAGGTCATTACTCAAAGCGGCATCGATGCAATGATGCTCACAGCTCACACATGCTGCTTTTGGTGGTTATTTTGAGCTGAACTGAGGAGAGGCTTTGGAGATTGAAATCTCACCAAAGTAACCTCTCCCCTTCTGCTGGGAGAGCTGTCTGCTGCCCTGGAAGGGCTGGTCTTGGCATAGAGAAGGGAGCAGGTCTTCAAACAAAGCTTTGGGCACATCTCAGTCAGACATGGGGCTTTTCCCCCAATCACTTTTCACTCATTTTCCCTTTTTAAAAAAGGGGGTTCAGCTCTCCCCACTGACTGAGGTGAGGAGCAAAATAATTATCCCATTTAACAGGATTCTTTGTCTTAGACATGGTGAAAGGGGAAAAAAGGCACATCCCAGAAATTCTGCGCCACCCTCGCTGAAGGGCTGCAGTTCCTGGATTAACTAAAGATATCAAACTGCCCAGGCTGCTGAAAAATAGGTGAGATTATTTCCTCCTGCACTCACCCCTTGTTCAGACACACACAGGGGTTTGAAAGCATGGCTTGGGATTCTGTGCAGAACGAAACCAAAAGAGCTGCAAGAGCTGCAGCACTCACGAAAGCTCCGGGCTGCCAGAACCGGTGACTACTGACACAAACCACAAACCAAGTTTTGCTTGGAGAACTTCCACCCTTCCCAAATAAAACTCCAGCCACTGGTGTTTGTACAAACTTCCATTCATGCCATAAAAACCTCCAAACCTTTGACTATGGAGGCAAAAAACTCCAGCAAAGGTGCTCAGCTCACTGAAAACAGGGGGATCAGCAAGCCCTGCTGGAGAGAGACAGGGGAAAAAAATGTGGGAACCTGCTGCCACACTTTCTTTTTTTTAAATTACAGAAAGCTGCAAGCCTAAATATTCCGCTTCCTATTCAAGGATAAGTTGTGTAATTCCCCAAAAAAGGGTATTACGCAATGAAAACACTAAGAAAATAAGGAACAACACTCGACGTGTCACAGGCAATTTGCTCAAGAGCAGCTCTTAGGTCATTGGAGGGAATTTTGAGGTTTAAACCACAGCACCTTGTTAACACAGATGCCATTGCATCAGTTATTTTTCCCCT